CATTGCATCAGCAGTACAGCCACTATGCAAACTGGGCTTTGTGACTAAACCTCTATGTATCTTTTTATCCACTCTCAAGAACCAATTAAGCATGCATTTAGCTGCCTTGTGTGGCTGCGCGCATTGTATTTGAATGCGTAACTGCGTACAAACTCACGAAAACAGTTGCAGGTGGCGCGCACAGTAAAGGACTACTTAACTGCTCTGATCGAGACATTAGTCGTCGAGTTCACCAACGTTAGATTATCAATGATGTCCACCCTTTTAACTATAGTATGGATTTTTTTATCCGATCATGTTAACTACATCAGCCCCAGCTAAACGGGAACAAATTCTCACGGGGGATGTTGAAAGCGTAAGTGGGGAAAAGAGCCGAGGCCGAAACGGAAAAGGCAACCTGATGTATGAAACACGTGTCGCGAAATTAAAGGAAGCCTTGAATCTACACAAAAGACCTGACTGTCAGGACATGCGGCGCAGCGGTACCCCAAACCTAACGACAAACGTAATCGTCAACTCAAAAATAAGTCTAAACCTTAACGTAATTATAAACCTAAAGCTAGCCCTAAACCTAGCACTAAACCTGACCTTCAACCTATTGCAAACCCAAATCCCAACCCCAAACATAACCTTAACCCTAATTTAAACTGTAGCGCCACTCTAACAATAACCCTAGCCCCACCCTTAACGTAATTCTGAACCGCAATCCAAACCCCAGCTCTAACCGGAACCCTTAAACTTAACACAAGCCCTCATCCTAAACCCAAATCTCAGCCTGACACTAATCCCAACCCAAAGACCAATCCTACCTCTAAACTGAAACCTCAGACTACCCTTTTTCGTTTTAGCTTTGGCTACTTTCCCACTACCAACTTTATCATCCTCCTTCGGCTTACTTTGATTTCAATGCCCACACTGCGCTCACACTTGGGACCAAGACAGCGTGACCGACTCCTACTGATAGGTTTGTGTGTCTCTTGCTTCAACATGCTTCTAAGTCCATGTTGTGACGCTACGCCTGTGCAGCGCGCGCAAACTTAGGCAAGTTATGCTCCTTTGGACTACGCTCACGGATGTTCCACGTTCTCAAGATGTTTTAATTTATAAATGAAGAAGAAGAAGGGTGATCGAACATCGGGACATTCTGTTTATTGTTGTGAGCTTTTGAAGTCGTGCAGGAGTCCATCGTCGGAGATAGTAGCAGCAACAGAACAAGCGACGGTTATATGGTGTGTTAGCCAATCATCGATCGGCGAGGCAAGACTGGAGGTGACAGCGTCGACGCTAGATCGACGAATCTATTGACTGAGTTCTCGTCCGAGACTCAAGCTTCAATCAATTTTCGGCCTGTTTTTTTTTTCTGGCGAGGACGACTACTATGGTGGCTACGAAGTTAAACTCATGACTCACTTCCAATGCTCGACCACCCTTCTTCTTCAATTATAAATACACCTGAAAGTCGAACTTTCGCCTTCATTCGTGCTTTAATTTATTTATTTGTGGGTAACTTGGTTAGGCTGTGTCATGCCACTTCTTCCCATGCCAGACGTTTGCAAGTGAATGTTCAATCGGGCTTAACTGTTTGGCTCAGGAAGGAGATGTCAAGGTGAACTAGGAATAAACAAATCAGGCACCTTATTCTCAGCATGCATTTTGTTTTATACTTTACCGTCCTGTTTTACCATATACCATGATAGTCTCTTAGCGTAGTCCTCAATTATTGTTATGTTCTAAATTGGGACTCTGCCCTTTAGGAATGTCGCAAAATCTTGTAATTTACTCCCTCAGTTCGGTCTTTGAGGTGCATTTCGCATGCTTTCCTCTTCTAGCCGATCATAAGTAAATTTCTCCCAGCTCGACTTGGAGCAATAATTAAATTTTTCCTTCCGCTGAGTGCGTTTGCCTTTAATTCTCTACCATTT